CCTGTACAGCAAGTATTTACTACTGCAGCTGCACCGAGTACTAGAGGGCCAGGTGCAGGAACTACTACTGGACAAATTCAGACAACAGGACCACTCTCAGTTGGTTCAACAACACCTGTACAGCAAGTATTTACTACTGCAGCTGCACCAAGCACAAGACAGCCAGGTGCAGGAACTACTACTGGACAAATTCAGACAACAGGACCACTCTCAGTTGGTTCAACAACACCTGTACAGCAAGTATTTACTACTGCAGCTGCACCAAGCACTAGAGGGCCAGGTGCTGGAACTACTTCTGGATCAATTCAGACGACAGGACCTCTGTCAGTTGGTTCAACAACACCTGCACAGCAAGTATTTACTACTGCAGCTGCACCAAGTACAAGAGGGCCAGGTGCTGGAACTACTTCTGGATCAATTCAGACAACAGGACCAGTGCCTTTTGCTTCCACAACACCTGCACAGCAAGTATTTACTACTGCAGCTGCACCAAGTACTAGAGGGCCAGGTACAGGAACTACTACTGGACAAATTCAGACAACAGGACCATTGTCAGTTGGTTCAACAACGCCTGTACAGCAAGTATTTACTACTGCAGCTGTATCAAGTACTAGAGGGCCAGGTGCAGGAACTACTACTGGACAAATTCAGACAACAGGACCACTGTCAGTTGGTTCAACAACGCCTGTACAGCAAATATTTACTACTGCAGCTGTATCAAGTACTAGAGGGCCAGGTGCAGGAACCACTACCGGACCAATTCAGACAACAGGACCACTCTCAGTTGGTTCAACAACACCTGCACAGCAAGTATTTACTACTGCAGCTGCACCAAGCACTAGAGGGTCAGGTGCAGGAACTACTACTGGACAAATTCAGACAACAGGACCACTGTCAGTTGGTTCAACAACGCCTGTACAGCAAGTATTTACTACTGCAGCTGCACCAAGCACTAGAGGGCCAGGTGCAGGAACTACTACTGGACAAATTCAGACAACAGGACCACTGTCAGTTGGTTCAACAACGCCTGTACAGCAAGTATTTACTACTGCAGCTGTATCAAGTACTAGAGGGCTAGTTACAGGAACTACTGGACCAATTCAAACAACAGGACCAGTTCTAACAACTTTTAAACACGGTAATTTTCTTTTTTTTTTACTCAATTACTGAGCTAATGTAGTATATAATATGAAAGCTTTAGTAATACTGAAAATTAAAAACTAACATGAATTTAAATTTGCTGATTCAGTCTTGTTTTCCCAATGTAGTCATATTTACATAATGCTGTCTCAAAAATACAGTGCACCCTCAAATTCAAGACCGCTCTAATTCAGAGACCCCTCTAATTCGAGACCACTTTTTAAAGGAACCAAACAACAATTTTCAGTCTATTAACACTAAACGAACCCTTTATGTGGATACCGAATCCCAAGACCACCCCAAATGTTCAGGTCCCAAGGTGGTCTCGAATTGAAGGGCAAACTATAATTCCCTTAAATTTATAATTTTAAAATGTACAATTTCAATTGTATTTATAAAGAGCAGTTAAATATACAGTAACATTATATCAATAGTATGATATATAGTCAATTATAATACCAGAAATCAGCTTCAAGTTTACGGAAAAAAGTACTGCTATATAAACAGAAACGATTTCCATTAATGAAATTGATTACAATTTCAAGGAATATATTACTCGTAAATATATTTCTTAATGATTCTGTGTCTTTTTTTACATTTTACAAGCTAAAGTAGGGATTAATAGACACTTTTGAATTTTATCAATTAATTTTTAAATTATTTGTTTTAATGAATTCATAACCTAGTGAATAATGTTCAATACTAAAATTATTGTTAAAATTTTACTTGAATTGTTCCAATGTATTGAATACCATTATATATTAGTCCTAAAGTAGTAATGTGGTGTAAATATTGTAAATAATTTCCTGGAACTTTTTTCATTATTATCTAAATTTGGAATGTGCTTGTTTTATCATGTAGTCTACTATAGCTGATTTTTTGCATTATTCATTAATTGTTGTTATTTTCGTTAAATACACTTGTCGTATATATTAATTGGATGTGATGATGTAATGAGAGTAGATTTTTAGTTTTATGTACAAGAAGTTTAGCAATCACTGTATAATATAAATAAAAATCAGAATAATTTATTTGTTAAAACAGTAACAGTGACAATTCCAGTGAGTGCTACCACTTCTGCTGCACCAGGCACAACAGCATCTGGAGCTCCAACAACAGGACCAGCACCTACAGGTATAGTTACTGTAGCACCACAAAGATCAACCACAGCAGCTGCTCAAAGTACAAGAGGAACAGGTGCACCAGCCACTACAATACTGGTAGTACAAACAACCGAAAAAGGTGATATTGTGTTTCTAACATTATGTTTTAATTTTAAAATTGTACTTAATTCATATATTTTTGGAAAAAAACAGCTATTTTCATAGTTTTCAGTTACCTATATATAAACTTTTTTCACCCAGCCCTTAAATAAAACAACAAAATATGAATCATGTATCTTTTTTTATTTCAGTATGTCACATGGACCTGGATACTGTTGATGAATTGGAAACAACAAGAACTACATCTGATAACATTGCCAATCCAGACAGTACAAAGATTGACAGCGAAGAACCATGGTATCCAAAGAATCTGGATGAAGAACCAAATCCTTATGTGGATATTGAGTTTTCGAAACCAGTCAGAATGACAGCTCTACAAATACAAGGAGATGGTCCCAATACTGTCACAGAGCTATCCATCTTTTACAAAGAACCAAATTCCGAGACCTTAACCAGATGGAATAAATTGGTAACCATTCCAGATGATGAGGATAATTCCATACCAGCGAAGCTTGAACTTCCTGAAGACTTCCCAATTGTTGAAGCCATAAGAGTTGAAATAGTGTCCTATGATGATAATGAGCCAACATTACGAGTGGCGCCATTTGGATGTTTACATGAGGGGACAACAGTATTACCAACGGAAGCTGTGACAGTTCCAGTGAGTGCTACCACTTCTGCTGCACCAGGCACAACAGCATCTGGAGCTCCAACAACAGGACCAGCACCTACAGGGATAGTTACTGTAGCACCACAAAGATCAACCACAGCATCCGCTCCAAGTACAAGAGTAACAGGTGCACCAGTCACTACAATACCGGTAGTACAAACAACCGAAGAAGGTAAAATTGTGTTTCTAACATGTAATGATTTTAGAATTGTACATACAACATTTTTTTTTTTGAAAACAAAACTCTTTTTCAAATTTTATGTTATTCTTCTGATGATGATTGAAACATTTGAATAGATACATCAAGACATTCTTAAGAAAAACAACAGTTTTTTAAAGAATTATCTACTTGTATGTGGTGTACTGCAAGCCTTTTATATTTTTTACTTTGCCATACAAACCTTTAAACAAAATAACTATTGTCATGATTTTTAGTTAACTATGTCAACTCTTTTTCTTCCAGCTTTTAGCAAAATGAACCTACTATAAAACAACAAAATAAGAATCATGTATTTTTTTTAAAT